AACATCATTTTCATCTTGCTGGAAGTAAAAGAGGGACTCAACAGATTCCTCACGTTTCGCCATTTTTCTCCGTGAAGAGAGAATAAATTTTTTTCAAATAAAGGATCGTTAAAGTCGGCGAAACCACGACGATCTGGAAATGCCTCAAAATTTTTAACAAGAACAGTTTTAATGAGTTCCAGATCGCGAAGAAAGAAGATTGGAGTTGTCATCATGTAGAATCCAAAATACTTTGCATTTGGAGTGAAATTATATTTGTTTAGTATGAAATCGAAGATTGATATTTGACGAAATATAACCGACAATATAGATCCGAATAATGGAACAGACGGTAAGTGTATAATACCATTTCTTTTGAAGAAATTAAAATTTTTAAAAAGATAATAAATGCTGATCACTCCGATTACTATCGATAATAATATCGACCAATATTCCATGGCACAAACGAATATTACTTAAAAATTGTCCAAGAATTTTTTTGTAAACGTCTGATAAAATGTGATCGACTGTACATAGAGCACTAGCTGACACGAATCGCTGCATAGAACTGCTTGTTACAGCAGTTCCTACATCGCAATATATCAGCAATTGTTATGAAGTAAATGCTTTCAAGCTACATTATGGATGTGTTTGGGATGACGCTATCCGTGCTATTTATGTTATTCTGTTCTTGTTTTACGTTCAACGGAGGATAAAGATAGAATGACACGAATAGCGCAAGTAGCATTTCCCCGAACGCACTTTATGTAAGATCAATCAGTGTTGATACTTCGATCGATGTAAATCAATAAATCATTGTATTGTGTGCTGTTTGTACATATGTAATATACATACATATGTGTGTACGCGCGCGCGGGCACACGCACACGCACACGCACGCACGCACACACACACACACGCATACACACACACACGCGCGCACGCACACACATGTATATTGTACATATGCATACATACATATGTGTGCGCGCGCGCGCGCGCGCGCGTGTGTACGTGTGTACATATATAATATATATTTATACACAAATATATATATAAAATTAAATTGTTAATGTAATCCGTAGAAAATTGATGAAGAAGCTTACACGACCATATTAAATGTGCAATTTAAAGACTGTAGCATATTTCTATATAAATTTTGTATTTAATGTTGTTTTATTTATTTTGAAAGATATATAAAACGATGTTTGAAAATATTTTTTACTGAATTATCATTTGATGATGAACCAAATAGGATAAAAAATAACGTATAAAAGTATGTTGCTTCGAATTTACTTTACAAATTATTGTATATATTGTACGTCAATTTTATAAAAAAAAAACAATTCCATTGAAAATGTTTTGTTCCAATTTGACAAATATTGAAAAGTTATTCAATTTGTATGAGAACGAAATTTTATAAAACCTTATATTTTATGAGAAATTCATATCACACATTACATCATGTATAAATATAAGACTTATTATCTTATTTTATCTTACATTTCTTATCTTTATGTTTGTTTGTGGCACTAAGTTTCATTATTTTTTGTTCATATGAAGTGAATAATCATCAAGTATGTAACGAGTATGTGCCACTGATAAATTAGTTAAGACTGCTTCACAGGTTTTAATTTGATATCTCAAATGATTATGCTTACTTTTTATTGTTCACAAATACTTAATCGTTGAATTCACTATCAGTATTGAAATGATAAATTATATGGAATGATAGTGCAATTTTACATAGACTTTATATAGAGCTAATGAAATTCACATAGGTATATTGCATGGAAGTATAAGTATGTATGTAGTAACTAGTCGTTAGCAGATTATGTAACATGTGTAAGTATATTAACACAATAGAAAGAAGTTTATTTATTAAAATTATGTTGTTGATAGCACATATATGTTGACATCTATTAATATCAGGTTTTTGTTACTGGTACAATTTTACTATAAGTTTTAAGTTCTATAATTCTGTGACTTCCACTTTTTTATTTTTATCTTTTAATCTATCATGATAAATTAGAAATCACTCTAATCTTGATCCTCATTACGTCATACTGATGAGATTACACACTTAAAAAAATGAAATATTAATTTTAATTTAAAGACGTTTAGTAGATTTTCTGACATGCAAAAATATTAAAATTAACATTTTATTTTTTACAGTGTATCATTCTGACAATCATTCAATTCATTCAATTACTTCACAAGCATTGTACTCAAGAAGTTCAAAATAAAACTTGTTAACTTGGTTCAATAAGAAAATATCTGATGTATTTGTTTGAACAAAAAAAATTAAATTAATTTAATTACCATTTTTTTCATTAAATATTTATTTATTGTAAGTAAATATCTACTTTTAATATTCAAAAAAATATATTTTAAGATATAGTATCTTTTTTCCCATGAATAAGTTATGGATTTCTTCTTCTAATTTCTAACTTTTAAAAATTATTATTTTGTGTTGATAACGTGTCTTAGTTTATAATTATTTATAAGTAAAAATAAGAAATTGGTTTACACGACAAAAATTAAAATATAGATCAATTGACCCTCACGCGAGCACTAACGTTAAGAAAAGTCACGCTATTATTAAGAGTAATAATATATATCCTATAGCTTACACGCTTTCCATATCGCATTTTCTTCTGTTCATTTTTATAAAAATACATCAATAAATTATTAAAAAACATTAATCGGAGAAAATTAATTCAATTGTATAAATAAATAGAAATTGCTACAACCTGTTCTGATTTTATTTTTGTTAAATAATATTTCGAGAAATAATATTTCAATAAAAGTACCTCCAAACGATGACCAATGTATTTTAGATTATTAAATATTACACACATACCGATACATGACATGCATAATTATCCATGAATGTAGTTTAGTGAATGTGTGCAAAGTTCGCTTATGTTGGGAGGCATATTTCAACAATATTTCAGTAATACTAATTCAATAAAATAAAATGCATATACTAACCTACAGTTAACTTCGTTTAGTAAGTACACTGTTAGTTAAATTAGAATTATTATTTATCGTCATATAAATATATATAATTTACGCGTTAACAACTGCAAAGGATCACATAGGTGTTTTATTTGTAATGGATTTATTCTTGGGATTACATAACTATTAATTTATTAACATTAGCAATAACTAATTTTAATACATATTGATTTCATTATTATTTTATATAATACTACAATATATACACATTCATTAAGATATATGCAATTTCTATTCCATAAAAATAATTTTTATTGAAATATAACTATTTTATTAAGTTGACTTAGACCGAGAAAGAATAAAATCAAATGAAAGGAAAAATTCTTTTTTCGAAAAGGGTCTCGATAATAATATTTAATAATACTCGTATTTAAATAAATACAATTCATCCTTGATGTTAATATTTGCAAATCATAGTTGAAAATTTGTAAATGCATTATTCAGTTCTATAAATTACGCACTGATGCGGTTTGTCAAACTTAAATCGCAAACATAAATTGAAGCTGGACATATAAATATGATTGACATATAAATATGTGACAATATGACACATTATAATAATCGTCAATTCAATAACGATAATAAAAACAAAATTCAAACACTAAAGAATGGATAACTATAACTTTTTTTTTATAAGAATTGCATTATTATCACTTGAAATGCTTTTTGAAGCCTAACTATCCATTATTGTAGACTCCTGCACATAATGCATATTTTTTCTACGCTGAATATTTAACCAGAATCCATTCTTCGGCATCATTATTAGATCTTTGCAGAATTTTATTGGTGACGTAGTTTTCACAGATGGTTTCAGTTCACATTGCGCTAATAAATGAAACAACAAGACTTTGACTTCCAACATGGCAAATCTGTTGGCTATACACATTCTCGGTCCTAATCCGAATGGCATATAACTCGAAGAATTGTGCATTTTGTTGTTTAAAAATCTTTCTGGATCAAATTTCTCCGGATTATCGTAATACTTTTCATCATGATGGATTGCAAGAACTGGAATCCAAACAAGCATACCCTTTTTCATGATAAAAGGTTTTTCGTCCGGCAATGCGGGTGGTAACTCAAAAGTTTTTTCGCATATCCTTTCTAAAGCGGCGACTGGTGGATACAATCTAAGAGCCTCACTTATCACCGCATCTAAATATTCGAGCCGATTAATAGCTTCGTAAGATACTTCTCCGTTCGACTCCTCTAAAATCTTGTCGATTTCTTGTTGTAATTTCATCTGAATTTCTGGATTAGCTGCAATTTCATGAGCTGCGAAGCACATTGCGGTTGAACTGGTCTCGAAACCGCCGAGGAAAAAGATGAACGCTTGCGCAGTCATGTCGTCGATGTCTAGTTCTCTACGACCTTCTTTACCTCTGATATCCATCATCAACTGCAGCATATCTGGACGTGTAATGTGTTCTGCGTCACGAGTGGCGATTGTAGTTCTTATAATATCCCTGAAGAAGTCCGAAACATAA